TATTATATAACACGCGTGCTAGAAGAATACAAGACATTGTATTATATAACACGCGTGCTAGAAGAATACAAGACATTGTATTATATAACACGCGTGCTAGAAGAATACAAGACATTGTATTATATAACACGCGTGCTAGAAGAATACAAGACATTGTATTATATAACACGCGTGCTAGAAGAATACAAGACGTTGTATTATATAACACGCGTGCTAGAAGAATACAAGACGTTGTATTATATAACACGCGTGCTAGAAGAATACAAGACGTTGTATTATATAACACGCGTGCTAGAAGAATACAAGACGTTATAGTCTATAACATGCGTGCTATCCCTTACTTTAGACATTATTAATACCATGTTAGATATCCACTACCTTGGTTAGTATGGTAAAAATACCACGGTGAAAATATTACCATAACACGTACATCTTGGGAGGAATGTGTGTACGTATATGTATGTAACCTGTGTGTATGTAAATGTGTGTTAAATCTGTGTGCATGTAAATACGTGTTAAATCTGTGTGCATGTATATATGTGTGAAACCTGTGTGTATGTAAATGTGTGTTAAATCTGTGTACATGTAAATACGTGTTAAATCTGTGTGCATGTATATATGTGTGAAACCTGTGTGTATGTAAATGTGTGTTAAATCTGTGTGCATGTAAATGTGTGTTAAACCTGTGTGTATGTAAATGTGTGTTAAATCTGTGTGCATGTAAATGTGTGTTAAATCTGTGTGCATGTAAATCTGTGTTAAATCTGTGTGCATGTATATATGTATGTAACCTGTGTGCATGTAAATCTGTGTTAAATCTGCGTGCATGTATATATGTATGTAACCTGTGTGCATGTAAATCTGTGTTAAATCTGCGTGCATGTATATATGTATGTAACCTGTGTGCATGTAAATCTGTGTTAAATCTGCGTGCATGTATATATGTATGTAACCTGTGTGCATGTAAATCTGTGTTAAATCTCCGTGCATGTATATGTGTGAAACCTTTGTGCATGTAAATACGTGTTAAACCTGTGTGCATGTAAATACGTGTTAAACCTGTGTGCATGTAAATACGTGTTAAACCTGTGTGCATGTAAATACGTGTTAAACCTGTGTGCATGTATATACGTGTTAAACCTGTGTGCATGTATATACGTGTTAAATCTGCGTGCATGTATATACGTGTTAAACCTGTGTGCATGTAAATACATGTTAAACCTGTGTGCATGTATATACGTGTTAAATCTGCGTGCATGTATATACGTGTTAAACCTGTGTGCATGTAAATACGTGTTAAACCTGTGTGCATGTATATACGTGTTAAACCTGTGTGCATGTATATACGTGTTAAATCTGCGTGCATGTATATGTGTTAAACCTGTGTGCATGTATATACGTGTTAAATCTGCGTGCATGTATATACGTGTTAAACCTGTGTGCATGTAAATACGTGTTAAACCTGTGTGCATGTATATACGTGTTAAATCTGCGTGCATGTATATACGTGTTAAACCTGTGTGCATGTATATATGTGTTAAACCTGTGTGCATGTATATACGTGTTAAACCTGTGTGCATGTAAATACGTGTTAAACCTGTGTGCATGTATATACGTGTTAAATCTGCGTGCATGTATATACGTGTTAAACCTGTGTGCATGTAAATACGTGTTAAACCTGTGTGCATGTATATACGTGTTAAACCTGTGTGCATGTATATACGTGTTAAATCTGCGTGCATGTATATGTGTTAAACCTGTGTGCATGTATATACGTGTTAAATCTGCGTGCATGTATATACGTGTTAAACCTGTGTGCATGTAAATACGTGTTAAACCTGTGTGCATGTATATACGTGTTAAATCTGCGTGCATGTATATACGTGTTAAACCTGTGTGCATGTATATACGTGTTAAACCTGTGTGCATGTATATACGTGTTAAACATGTATGAGAGCCTAGTCCCCGAGTCAGGTGAAGGGAGCAATATAATATCTTGTGTAGAGAAACAAAACACAGTGTTAAATCTTACAACTCACTGCCTTTACATTTTAATCCACAATATATAGAAAAGTTTACCCAGTATACAAGGTGACTCTGTGGGTCGATTTTTATATATTTTAAAAGTATTTTACATCTATCTATATTGTTTTTAGACTCTGTGTAATAAATCCCTCAGTAACTACATTGTTAGATTTGTCATAATAATAATAATAATAATAATAATAATAATAATAATAATAATAATAACAATAATAATAATAATAATAATAATAATAATAATAATAAACAATAATAATAATAATAATAATAATAATAATAATAATAATAATATAATAATAATAATAATAAATAATAAATAACAATAATAATAATAATAATAATAAATAATAATAATAATAATAATAATAATAAATAATAATAAAATAATAATAATAATAATAATAATAATAATAATAATAATAATAATAATAATAATAATAATAATAATAATAACAAAACATTATTATTATTATTATTATCTTGCGATAATGGAATTCAGAGCCTCGACCCGTCATGAAATACTGATATCTGTTATCTTTATATTACACCAGTGACACATATAACAGGATAATGCATATATATATACATATATATATATATATTTTTTTTTTATTCGCCGGTATTCTCCCGGCCCGGGTCTTTTCCAAGTAGTGGTGACCCGGCCTTGGCTCCCTATCTGGGGAGTGTCTCGAGACTTAAGTCTCCCATGGGAGGAGGTACAGTACCTCCTCATCTTTGGGACCAAGTGTCCCCAGGCCTAGCCACATTCCCCGCCCTCACGGGCTCGTAGGGAGAAGATAGGCCTCTGGTCTGCCATCTACCCCGCCTCAAAGGGGCTCGTGGGGATGGCAGTCTTATGAGCTGCAGATGGTAGCAAGCTCAGGCCTCTCTTGACCTTAACATATATATATATATATATATATATATATATATATATATATATATAATATATATATATATATATATATATATATATATATATATATATATATATATATATATATATATATATATATATATATATATATATACACACACTTTTAATAACGAAATTCTGGTATGTTTCTCTGTTCATGCAGCAGCGCCACGAGTACACTGAGAGACAACACAATAAGTGTCGGGGGCCCAAGACTGTTCAACTGCCTCCAAGCATACATAAGGGGGATTATCAATAGACCCCTGGCTGTCTTCAAGAAGGTACTGGACAGGCACCTAAAGTCAGTACCTGACCAACCGGGCTGTGGTTCGTACGTCAGCTTGCGTGCGGCCAGCAGTAACAGCCTGGTTGATCAGACCCTGATCCACCATTAAGCCTGGTCACAGACCGGGCCGCGGGGGCGTTGACCCCCGGAACTCTCTCCAGGTAAACTCCAAGTAAAGTGTCGTATATTAACAACTGTTTTCAGCTGCTGTTATATTTGCTGCAGTTGTTGCATGTGTTCCTTCAGTTCTGCATATGTTGCTGCACTTCGTGTTGCATATGTTTATTTTAACCTTCCGTTTTCTGTGTTGTTCCAGTGATTGTTACTCCTGGTGCTGTTGCTGCTGTTGTTGATACTTCTGTTGCTGCTGCTGTTGTTGTTGTTGCTGCTGCTGTTGTTGTTGTTACTGCTGCTGTTGTTGGTGTTACTGCTGCTGTTGTTGGTGTTACTGCTGCTGTTGTTGTTGTTGCTGCTGCTGTTGTTGTTGTTACTGCTGCTGTTGTTGGTGTTACTGCTGCTGTTGTTGGTGTTACTGCTGCTGTTGTTGGTGTTACTGCTGCTGTTGTTGGTGTTACTGCTGCTGTTGTTGGTGTTACTGCTGCTGTTGTTGGTGTTACTGCTGCTGTTGTTGATGTTACTGCTGCTGTTGTTGGTGTTACTGCTGCTGTTGTTGGTGTTACTGCTGCTGTTGTTGGTGTTACTGCTGCTGTTGTTGATGTTACTCTGCTGTGTTGTTGATGTTACTGCTGCTGTTGTTGGTGTTACTGCTGCTGTTGTTGATGTTACTGCTGCTGTTGTTGGTGTTACTGCTGCTGTTGTTGGTGTTACTGCTGCTGTTGTTGATGTTACTGCTGCTGTTGTTGGTGTTACTGCTGCTGTTGTTGATGTTACTGCTGCTGTTGTTGATGTTACTGCTGCTGTTGTTGATGTTACTGCTGCTGTTGTTGGTGTTACTGCTGCTGTTGTTGATGTTACTGCTGCTGTTGTTGGTGTTACTGCTGCTGTTGTTGGTGTTACTGCTGCTGTTGTTGGTGTTACTGCTGCTGTTGTTGATGTTACTGCTGCTGTTGTTGATGTTACTGCTGCTGTTGTTGATTTTACTGCTGCTGTTGTTGATATTACTGCTGCTGTTGTTGGTGTTACTGCTGCTGTTGTTGATATTACTGCTGCTGTTGTTGATGTTACTGCTGCTGTTGTTGATGTTACTGCTGCTAGCATTACCGTTTCTGCAGTGGTTGCTGTGCACCTGCTGCACTTCTTGCTGCTGCTGCTGCTGCTAACATCATACCTGCTGCTGCAGCAGTAGCCGCTGTCCTCGCGGAAGTGCCATGTTTTCATGGGTAATAAGAGAAAACGGTAATGTGGGTCTGATGTGATTTCGCTAAACTGGTGTGAAGGCTCCGCTCTGATCCTCCCCTCAAGGAAGGTTCCTTGATGTTGGTGAGGGGCTCTTGATTTATGGAATTGGATCTGTGCTCCAGTTCCCCGAATTAAGCCTGAATACCTTCCACATCCCCCCCCCCCAGGCGCTGTATAATCCTCCGGGTTTAGCGCTTCCCCCTTGATTATAATAATAATAATCTGCTCTGATCCTAGAGCCGTGAGGTCACTCCTGTCCTTAATGGTACCAGCTCCTGTGTCACTGAATCACTCATAAATACATCTATGTGTCTTGCAGAAACAGTTATACAGTTATATTATGAAGACAGTTTTTATACGCTGTAGCTCGGAGTGTTATCTGGTTTATCAGTTACCATGGCGATTTTGTCTACGAAGATTTCTCAGTTGTGTCGTGTTCCTCGGGCAGTTAACATCTGTGAAAATCACGAAATACAACACAAAAAATAGGCACAGGGGAAGTATCTTAAAATATACGTAAAGGACAAGTTGCGCCAGTCTTAAACTTTAGAAGTCACTTGTGTTTCTCAGTTGGCGGTGATAATGATTTTCAGTATTGGATTGAGGTATACGATATAAGCTTATCAATGGTGGCGCGAGCTTTGTTGTCTAGTGTTTCTGCGATTACCACCAGCTGGGTAGGTGTTAGTGCACACCACCAGCTGGGCAGGTGGTGTTAGTTAACACAACCAGCTGGGCAGAGGGCGTTGGTAAGCACTATCAACTGGCGCTGTGGCCGGCTGAGAAATGAGAACTACTGGCATCCGGTCTGTACCCAGCCCAGCGCCCCGCTCCCAGGTGGCCGCTGGGAGCCAACCTCTGCCCCTGCCCAGGACGAAGTTCAACATCACTACTGCTCCCACGGACACACCACCATTCCCGTCATCCCCCACCATCCAGGGCATCCCTGTGAACAACACTAAAAATACGAATGTATCATCTGAGATCGAACCTGAAAACTCTGTGCTGGAACAAAATGAAACTAATAAGACATTACAGTCAAAAGATGGGGACGGTGAGGAGTCTATAATAAGTTCGCCAAGTAAGTTTCAGTCGGAATTAACTCGTGCATCACTACACAGAAAACCAGTTAGGAAGGCTCCCCCAAAACCACCTAGAACCTTTAGTCACCAAGTGACTCTTGCACAGGAGTCTGCAGAGCGCGATAGAATGTCTGGGTTTTTAAATTATAAGGTTCCAGAGCAGCTAATTGCTCCCAAACCTGCTCCCATCCCGTCCCGACCAAAGCTTATAGATATTCTATATAGGCCAAGCCCTTCTCAGAAGGCGGCCTCTGATTCAAAGGCTAATCGTCGTTTTATTTCTAATACAGACTGGAAAAAGACTCAGATAACAGTGAGTGAAGCTGCCCCAGGCAAGATGGCCACATCATTGGTTGTAGGCTCTTTGCCGTCAAGAGGTGATCAAGTGTCTAATGTCACATTTCAGGCGACATCTAGGAAGACACTACCACGACAGTCAAATGCCTCAGAAAGTGGCAGAGGCAGTGTTGTTACACAGTCATTCAGCCGACACGATGTTGGTGCTAGACGCTCTATAAACAAGATGTCCAACACTCGAGGTGTCCCTTTTCCTCCACCTGCTATGCCACCACCAAGTGTTCCCTCATCTGCACCGCGACCATGTGTTCAGCCAATGGGTTACTCACGTCCAGAAATACCCACACGTCCAACTGCTGCCCAATTAGCTCCGTATCTGGGGAATAAGAAAGCTAACTGGCCACGAGACAGAGTGCCTGGGTCCTTGGGGATTCCTTCAAGGTCTCAGACAACCGCTTCTTCCAGCGTCAGGGTTGTCGACCAGGACCCCGTGTGCACGCCTGCAGATTTCGAGGACAATTGTAAAGAAGTCTTCAAGTGTATCAGGGCAGCAAAGGAACATATTGGTCATGGACGACATATCCAGGTCAGGTTTCATTTATTGAGAACAATGTCCACCACTGTCTCGAGAGGCGAGGAGTGCGGAACAAACTGCCAGATAGTGAACATTTTGGGCAGTTTCAAATTACGTGAATGGGTAGGGATAGGTAGGCAATCTTGATTTTTATGATAGCTGCATTGCGGAAACTAAAGCTAGAAATGTTTCCCATGTTATATTCCATTATAAATGGGTTACAAACATGAGATACGAACTCTATCAGCGTGAGATTGGAGATTCCAGTAAGGCGATGAGACCATCAAGTACTCCACTATGGGTTTAGTAGCTATGAGAGCTGAAGTTACAATATTAACACTTGTCTAGCATGTGCCCTCCCTAGTGCCTATCTATTTTTATATAATAGCTAGAAGGAAGATTTATCACTGTATATACATTCAACATTATGCTTGTTATGATAATTTCCCAATAACGTGAAAACAAATAATAAAAAGTACTGTTTAACAAGAGAGAGAGAACCTGGAATTCATTCCAGAAGAAGAAGCCATTTGGTAAGCGTATTGATACTAACTGGAGTCGATCTGGAGGGTGTTCCGGGGGTCAACGCCCCCGCGGCCCGGTCCATACTGGTTCTGGTTTGTTAATAGTGGCGTTCTGTTATTGTATGTGTTTATTTAACATTTATGGTTGTAGAGATTAACGTGAATACGTGTGGTTGTTGCAGGCAGTCAGTCAGTATCAGGCGGCGCTGACAGCGATAGACCGAGTGCTGAAGGCGCAGGTGCTGAGCATTACAAGTGATGAACACACCAGACAGAGGTTCTTCCAGCTGCAGCAGGAGGTCTTCGTCGCCAGGTGAGCACTGGGGGTAGAGAGGTATTATCCTTCAGGGGGCCACGGGTATTGCCCCCCCCCCTAGGGTACTGTAAACGCAATGCACGGCTCCATGAGTATGTATGATAGGGCCCAAGAGGCCTGGGACCAGGAAATTTTCAAACAGGGTAAGGTAAGTGGCAGGACCAAGAATTGAATCTCAACCCAAGCAAACACGACAGCATGAGTGCACACACGTACACACACGGTGTTATAACCCTTTCCTGAGTATACACACACACACACACACACACACACACCACACACACACACCACACAACAACACACACCACACACACACCACACACACACACACACTAACCCCTTCCTGAGTACACACACTCATTGCTAGATTTAACCTCTTCCCCACACACTTTCAAGGAGCAGTGAGCGTAACATTATAAATAATTCAATTGGTATTTTATCTTCCTGAACGGCGGTTGTCGTTCAAAAGAATAAGTTGTGGACATTAAAACAATCACAACTTCGTCAATTTCCCTGACTTAGCAATAAAAAAATATTAACAGCAAACCTCTATTATACCATTTTTCAAATCCATCCAGAAAATAGTAAGAGAAATATCATCATTAGATGATGATGATAATAATAATAATAATAATAATAATAATAATAATAATAATAATAATAATAATAATAATAATAATAATAATAATAATAATAATAATAATAAATCTTTATTCATACAAGTACATGATAAAACTTATACAGACCATAGCTGACACCCATGACATACTATATACAAAGCCTCTGGTTATGCAGAGCATTTCGAGCAATTTAAGTTCATTTTGTCCCCAAGATGCGACCCACATTAGTCGGCTAACACCCGGGTACCTATTTTAATGTTAGGTGAGCAGGGACAGCAAGTGTAAGGTGACTAACACCCAAGTACCTATTTACTGTTAGGTGAACAGGGGCAGCAAGTGTGAGGTGACTAACACCCAAGTACCTATTTACTGTTAGGTGAACAGGGGCAGCAAGTGTGAGGTGACTAACACCCAAGTACCTATTTACGTTAGGTGAACAGGGGCAGCAGTTGTGGTGACTAACACCCAAGTACCTATTTACTGTTAGGTGAACAGGGGCAGCAAGTGTAAGGTGACTAACACCCAAGTACCTATTTACTGTTAGGTGAACAGGGGCAGCAAGTGTAAGGTGACTAACACCCAGGTACCTTTTCATGGCAACTTTTCAGAAAAGAGACGCTGAACGGGTTCAGTGATGCCCAGGCGGCGGTGAAGCCGACTCCGGGCCTCTCCACGGACACTCCGGCTCCGGGAGCACCACCCACTTACGATGATGTTCTTAGGGAGGACCAGACGCGCTCACGAGGTACTTACTGCCTTACTGACGCATGCCGAGGGTATGGTGGAATATTTTTGTGGCTGTTGTAAGAGCTGTGGTGCAGCTGGTTGTGTGGTGGTTGTAAGGGCTGTGGTGCAGCTGGTTGTGTGGTGGTTGTAAGGGCTGTGGTGCAGCTGGTTGTGTGGTGGTTGTAAGGGCTGTGGTGCAGCTGTTTGTGTGGTGGTTGTAAGGGCTGTGGTGCAGCTGGTTGTGTGGTGGTTGTAAGGGCTGTGGTGCAGCTGGTTGTGTGGTGGTTGTAAGGGCTGTGATGCAGCTGTTTGTGTGGTGGTTGCAAGGGCTGTGGTGCAGCTGTTTGTGTGGTGGTTGTAAGGACTGTGATGCAACTGGTTGTGTGGTGGTTGTAAGGGCTGTGGTGCAGCTGTTTGTGTGGTGGTTGTAAGGGCTGTGGTGCAGCTGGTTGTGTGGTGGTTGTAAGGGCTGTGGTGCAGCTGGTTGTGTGGTGGTTGTAAGGGCTGTGGTGCAGCTGTTTGTGTGGTGGTTGTAAGGGCCGTGGTGCAACTGGTTGTGTGGTGGTTGTAAGGGCTGTGGTGCAGCTGTTTGTGTGGTGGTTGTAAGGGCTGTGGTGCAGCTGGTTGTGTGGTGGTTGTAAGGGCTGTGGTGCAGCTGGTTGTGTGGTGGTTGTAAGGGCTGTGGTGCAGCTGTTTGTGTGGTGGTTGTAAGGGCTGTAGTGCAACTGGTTGTGTGGTGGTTGTAAGGGCTGTGGTGCAGCTGGTTGTGTGGTGGTTGTAAGGGCGTGGTGCAGCTGGTTGTGTGGTGGTTGTAAGGGATGTGGTGCAGCTGGTTGTGTGGTGGTTGTGAGGGCTGTGGTACTGCTGGTTGTGTGGTGGTTGTGAGGGCTGTGGTACTGCTGGTTGTGTGGTGGTTGTGAGAGCTGTGGTACAGCTGGTTTGTGGTGGTTGTGAGGGCTGTGGTACTGCTGGTTGTGTGGTGGTTGTGAGGCTGTGGTGCAGCTGGTTGTGTGGTGGTGTAAGGGCTGTGGTGCAGCTGGTTGTGTGGTGGTTGTAAGGGCTGTGGTGCAGCTGGTTGTGTGGTGGTTGAGGGCTGTGGTACTGCTGGTTGTGTGGTGGTTGTGAGGGCTGTGGTACTGCTGGTTGTGTGGTGGTTGTGAGGGCTGTGGTGCAGCTGGTTGTGTGGTGGTTGTAAGGGCTGTGGTGCAGCTGGTTGTGTGGTGGTTGTAAGGGTGTGGCACAGCTGGTTGTGTGGTGGTTGTAAGGGCTGTGGTGAAGCTGGTTGTGTGGTGGTTGTAAGGGTGTGGCACAGCTGGTTGTGTGGTGGTTGTAAGGGCTGTGGTGCAGCTGGTTGTGTGGTGGCTGTAAGGGCTGTGGTGCAGCTGGTTGTGTGGTGGTTGTAAGGGCTGTGGTGCAGCTGGTTGTGTGGTGGTTGTAAGGGCTGTGGTGCAGCTGGTTGTGTGGTGGTTGTAAGGGCTGTGGTGCAGCTGGTTGTGTGGTGGTTGTAAGGGTGTGGCACAGCTGGTTGTGTGGTGGTTGTAAGGGTGTGGCACAGCTGGTTGTGTGGTGGTTGTAAGGGCTGTGGTGCAGCTGGTTGTGTGGTGGTTGTAAGGGTGTGGCACAGCTGGTTGTGTGGTGGTTGTAAGGGTGTAGCATAGCTGGTTGTGTGGTGGTTGTAAGGGTGTGGCACAGCTGGTTGTGTGGTGGTTGTAAGGGTGTGGCACAGCTGGTTGTGTGGTGGTTGTAAGGGTATGGCACAGCTGGTTGTGTGGTGGTTGTAAGGGTGTGGCACAGCTGGTTGTGTGGTGGTTGTAAGGGTGTGGCACAGCTGGTTGTGTGGTGGTTGTAAGGGTGTAGCACAGCTTGTTGTGTGGTGGTTGTAAGGGTGTGGCACAGCTGGTTGTGTGGTGGTTGTAAGGGTGTGGCACAGCTGGTTGTGTGGTGGTTGTAAGGGTGTGGCACAGCTGGTTGTGTGGTGGTTGTAAGGGTGTGGCATAGCTGGTTGTGTGGTGGTTGTAAGGGTGTGGCACAGCTGGTTGTGTGGTGGTTGTAAGGGTGTGGCACAGCTGGTTGTGTGGTGGTCGTAAGGGTGTGGCACAGCTGGTTGTGTGGTGGTTGTAAGGGTGTAGCACAGCTTGTTGTGTGGTGGTTGTAAGGGTGTGGCACAGCTGGTTGTGTGGTGGTTGTAAGGGTGTGGCACAGCTGGTTGTGTGGTGGTTGTAAGGGTGTGGCACAGCTGGTTGTGTGGTGGTTGTAAGGGTGTAGCACAGCTTGTTGTGTGGTGGTTGTAAGGGTGTGGCACAGCTGGTTGTGTGGTGGTTGTAAGGGTGTGGCACAGCTGGTTGTGTGGTGGTTGTAAGGGTGTGGCACAGCTGGTTGTGTGGTGGTTGTAAGGGTGTAGCACAGCTGGTTGTGTGGTGGTTGTAAGGGTGTGGCACAGCTGGTTGTGTGGTGGTTGTAAGGGTGTAGCACAGCTGGTTGTGTAGTAGTTGGGAGCTCAGTAGCATCTTAATTACTGTACCACAATTAATAATAGTAATAATAATAATAATAGTAATTACGCAGTTATTAAGATAAGGTAAATATCGTGTGAGGATCTCTGAGATAAGATAACAAAACACTGACCCATGACATATATACCATTAATACAACAGTATACATAAAATATACATATAACTTACATGATACAAACATAAAAAAATACTGAAATATATGACAGATAAAACATACACAGTTCTGATATATATATATATATATATATATATATATATATATATATATATATATATATATATATATATATATATATATATATATATATATATATATATATATATATATATATATATATATATATATATATATATAGTGAATAATATTTGAATATAATGTTGAGATTTTGTATGATGCATTAACATACTTGTTACTGATATGTTAATTATATAGTTTTGCAGAGAATGGCTTATAATAATATTAATAGTAATAATTAAATATAATTAATTATAATAATAATGTGATAATAATAATAATTATAATAATTAATAGTAATAATAATTATAATTCATGTTAAGCGGTAAACCCATGTGGGTCATTTAGTTCAAGACGTGGTGGAGGCTTGATCCTCCGTCTTCTGAGCGCGTGACAGACGGCCTTCCTATTTGTACTCACTTAGATGCTTCTTATAATTTTTATATATTTTTTTTAAGATAAAGTATCAGGGGTACCAGCAAGACAGCCTCTACAGCAGCATGGATCAGCAAGAGTGTCGTACCATGATGGGTCTCCAAACATACCGTGCCATCTTGGGTCTTCGGCCGTGCCTCGGTCTTCACAGTTGGAGCAAGGTAGACCTAGACGAAGTGCCAAGCCTCACACTGTTGCCTTGGCGTCTGGGCCGCCATTATCGATGCCCCAGCCGCCCTGGGTAACACGCGTGAAATCGTCTTCACTTCGCGCACGCCCGGATGATGTGGTACTGGTGGACACCTCTGGTGAACCACCCTCCGGCACGCCACTCTCAGCTCCTGTCAACTTCACCCTCCGGCCGCTCGTTCCCACCAAAGTATCGCCTCCAAGGTCAAAGTCCTATCATCGTACCCAAGAACAGCCTATTCCAGTAGCCCTTGATAAACACACAGAAAAAATAGCCACGTATGCAAAGTCCTCTCAACCAAACAAAGCCTCTTCTCTGAAGACCTCTCAACCAAACGAACCCTCTTACTCAAAGTTCTCTCAACCAAATGAAGCCCCTTGTCCAAAGTCTTCCCAACCAGATGATAATGCCTCTTATCCAACGTCCTCTCACACTTCCACTGAAACACAAGTTCGCAAACCAAGAACTTCCAGCACAGTGAACGAAACTCCAATCATTGACCCAGTTTTTTCCCCGCCGTTTGACGAAGCTCTGTTTCGCCAGGCACAAGCCTTAGAGAAATTTGAAGAGCAGCGGAAAAGGGAAGTACCAGCCGTGGCTGTGAAAGCTGCAACAACAGAGCCTTTAGTCACGGGGTCATTAGGAGACCGTGGTTTGGTTAGTGAATCAAGCAATCGCCGGACCGATTCCAGTAAAGATGACGGAATCAATACCTCACCTTCAGGTGTTGGATCTGTCGTCTGCGCTGAAAATAATCTAGGCTCTGAAACATCACCACCATCTGCCTCTACTAACTCTACTTTTATTAATGACCCGTTTATGAATATAGATCCATTTCCCCCAGTGGATCCGAATACAGTAATAACTGACCCTGTTTTTACGGAGGATATCCAGTCTTCTTCCCCGCTGGTCTTCAGTGATGATCCTCCTCTAAATCTGGGGATAGACAGTGATAAAGACTCAGTGAATAAAAGAAATTCTACTAAAATGGCTGTGAAACCGCTGGTAGTAGCAGGTGGTGTAAAGCCGTCAGGCAACGCTGCCTCTCCGGTTGATATTGGGCAAGCTGGTGCTGCTTCTCTAGATTTACCACACGACACTGAAGACAATACATCATATGATGAAGAAAGAAATTCCATACTCGAGGCTCTAGATTTTGCTATCACTCCAACTCCAAATCATAAAAAAGTGTCACCTCAAAACTCAAAGGTATCAATCCGTTCACGATGTTATTCTGAATATATGTTACTGGATTGTTCTTATGGAACTCTGAACACTTACATCGAGGCTTCTAAAGAAGTTTGTGCCAAGCGAGCATCAATTATAGAAGAATTTGATCCACTTATGTCTCACTCACAAGAAACCAAGAGTCCTATTGTGTTTTCCGATGACAATGTAAACAATGAAAATGCAGTTGAAACTCGTGTAGAGGAAAATAAAGTAAACAATATTGACTTTGAGCAGCTAAAAACAGTAAACAAGCCCAGAAATAATGGCAAATTAGAAGATTTGAATAAAAAGACTCAACAGAAGAAAGAAGAAAGTGAGGTGCTCTTTCCTCGGGTATTCAACGAGGAAGGAGCAGTAGGAGTCTCTGCAGACTTACATGATGGAGCAGTAGGAGTCTCTGCAGACTTACATGATGGAGCAGTAGGAGTCTCTGCAGACTTACATGATGGTAAAGGTGCTGAAGGCATTCCTGATAACCTCTACAACAGTGAGGAGCCAACACCATCATATTTTAACAACGCGGATACCAAAACATCCGTCTCCTCTTCCACGGGTTCCTGTACATCATGGCCATCAGATTTCACCAAGAACTCGTCGTGGCCGTCTTCGCCGGTTACCCCGCCGTCAGAAGTGGAAATGGAGTCGCAATGGTATTCCGATGAGGAGGAACCCAAGGTACTGCCAACAAAAGACGTGGGCCGCTCAACCTTCCATCGGCTCTCTACACATCAGGTATGTGTTCGTAGACAGACTCCTTTCTCAGTATATGTCGCAGAAGAGACAGACTGGCTGTCTCTCTCTCTCTCTCGCTCTCTACAGTACTGGTTAAGGTAAACTGTCAGTGTATATACACTGAGAGAGAAACACCTCTCAGTGTGCTGTACATATACTCCCTCTGTGTATGTGCACACCTTCCTGAAAGATACACACCTCTATGTGTACACACTAAGTGATACAAACATCGTGTGTATACACTAAGTGTATACACTAGGTGAACATAAACTAACTCTTTATAGTAGAAAACTAACATCTTAATCTTGTGCTAGGATGGTGATGATCGGGCGGAGACCATGGGCGGCATAAGGAGTTTGGGCGGCTTCAGAGACCTGTTAAGGATTCGTGAGGGAGTGAAAATCTTCTTCATCCATACTGATGGGGTCGTCACCTCGCCCTGGAACAAACCATTCCTAGCTGCTTCCAAAGGTAGCTCAGGTTTACAAGCACCATATACATGTACTAGTTTCAAGAGTACTTTGATAATAATGTTTATTTTTACAAGTACATATACAAGGTATACAGGCCTAACTGACATCAGTAACATACTGCTACATAGCAAGCCCCTTGTCGGGCAAATTAGGTCAGTTTTGTCCCGAGATGCGACCCACACCCGTCAACTAACACCCAGGTATGTAGATGAATGGTTCAGAGAACCAACATGTTGTTGAATTAGACACATGTGTCTAATTCAACAACATGTCGGTTCTCTGAACCATTCATCTACATTCCTGTCAGACACTGCAACTTCTTGGGATCTTAATATTTGGGAATTCTTCACTTGCCTAACCCTTGGGCACGACCTCCTTCCACATTGGGCAAATGTGACACCACCTACGACTGCTGCCCCTCACCTGTCTACGGTTTATAAGCTGATTCTCCGCTCATATGCCATATTCTATTCAAGTTTGATGGACTGACCACATCGACTCAAGGCTGAGGGACTGATTACCTCATTCTCCTCCTGTTCTTCAAGTTTCTCCTTTGTATGGACTGATGAAGCCACTGTGTGGCGAAACGTTTCCTCAATAAAGATACCCAAGAGTTGCACATGTGTCTAATTCAATAACACCCAGGTACCCATTATACCGATGGGTGAACATGGACAGCAGGTGTCTTTAGGAAGCACGTCCTAATGTTTTCCAGCCGTACCAGGGATTCGATCTCCGGACCTCAGTGTGTGAGCTAAGGGCGCTAGCGATCGAGCTACTTTTGTTTATATTCAAAGTGTAATAAACACAGATTTTGGGGTAAATGTACATAATAATGAATAATCTAAGCACTGAATTGGGTACTGTGAATGTGTATATAATTTATAGTGTCTTCATGTTACTCACTAAGCACAGGTGTATGTTGGAAATAAATGGTATAAAATACCGACACAATGGAAATATAAACACATATGCAGTTTAATGTGATCCTTTATTGACAACGTTTCGCCCACACAGTGGGCTTTTTTTCAAGTCACATACCTTCCACCCCAGGTAGATCTGTTTGTGACTTGAAAAAGCCCACTGTGTGGGCGAAACGTTGTTAATAAAGGATCACATTAAACTGCATATGTGTTTATATTTCCACAGGTATATGTTGCTTTGAGAGTGTGTGTGCCGTGAAAGCATTTATTAGTTCAAGATACATATGTGTATGCATGTTGGTAATGTCTGCAGGGACGCTGTAATATCAACAAAACGAGAAAGTCAAGACTCTTGCCAGCATGACGCTCGTATTTTGTTTCTGCTTTCCTTCTGTGTTACGTGAAAAACAATATATATTGTATGGTGTGTGTGTGTGTGTGTGTGTGTGTGTACTCACCTAATTGTGGTTGCAGGGGTCGAGACTCAGCTCCTGACCCCGCCTCTTCACTGATCGCTACTGGACCTCTCTCTCTCTCTCTCTCTCTGCTTCCTGAGCTTTGTCATACCTCTACTTAAAACTATGTATGGTTCCTGCCTCCACTACTTCACTTGCTAGGCTATTCCACTTGCTATTCCACGTGTGTGTGTGTGTGTGTGTGTGTGTGTGTATGTGTGTGTGTGTGTGTGTGTGTGTGTGTGTGTGTGTGTGTGGGCCTTGTCCCCGTTCACACCTTTGTACTGCAAAGGTACTTAGAATCTTGAAACTCTTCAAATTCATTTGGAGGAATAAACAAAGTGTTTTTTTTTTATTTGTAGGTTCAAAGCCTATATAGGGTATATACACACCGCAAGAGGGCAGTTAAAGTTTATAAACACGAAGGGTATATACACCGAGAGGTATATGTCTCTTAGTGTATGTACTGAGATTTCAACTTATTCCATATTTTAGGAATTAAGCGTATTCTTTACTAGTGAGGAACAAGCAACACGTGCAATACCTGGGGCATATTTATTTGAAGATGTCTTCAAATAAAAATATGCAGGTGTTACACGTGTTTAATTCCTCATCTTATCGGTACTGTATACCATTATTTTAATGACCCTTGAATGGTGAGCAGATTACATGAAGCCTTAATTACCCTCAACTAATAATTCCTTAAGAATGCAGTGTGGGACGTTACTAATACACACTGTGTATATTAATATATATATGTGTTACATGTTAGATCATGCTTCCACCACTTGTTGGTTGAATAAATCACATGGGTTCATTGCTTAACATGAATTATCAAAAATTACCATACAGACACCAACATGATCTGGCGTGTGGGGGAAGGTGTGGTGCTGAGGGTAGGCAAGAAACTCTGGTCCTGCAATTTACACAGCAAAACTACCTTGGTGCTACGATCTTCTGGTATCTATATCTTCAAAGAAGTTCCTGGCAAGCCTGAGTGTGAGTACCTCCCTCTCTCTCCATTTGTATATAACATAAAGGAGGAACACTGCAGTGCATTAGTGTTCGTAATGAAGCTTACAGAATCCTTGGCTTCATAGCAAGAAGTATAAAATAATAGGAGTCCTCAGGTTGTTCTTCAACTCTATATATCCTTGGCTAGGCCTCATTTAGATTATGCTGCACAGTTCTGGTCACCGTATTACAGAATGGATATAAATGCTCTGGAAAATGTACAGAGGAGGATGACAAAGTTGATCCCATGTATCAGAAATCTTCCCTATGAGGAGAGACTGAGGCCCTGAATCTGTACTCTCTAGAAAGGCATAGAATTAGGGGGGATATGATTGAGGTGTATAAATGGAAAACAGGAATTAATAAAGGGGATGTAAATAGCGTGCTAAAAATATCTGACATAGACAGGACTCGTAGCAATGGCTTTAAATTGGAAAAATTCAGATTCAGGAAGGATATAGGAAAACACTGTTTTGGTAATAGAGTTGTGGATGAGTGGAACAAACTCCCGAGTACCGTCATAGAAGCTAAGACGTTGTGTAGTTTTAGAAATAGGTTGGATAAATACATGAGTGGGTATGAGTGGGTGTGAGTTGGACCTGACTAGCTTGTGCTACTAGGTCGGATGCACTGCTCCTCCCTTAAGTGACGTGTCTGACCTCACTAGGTCAAGGTATTGGCTTAAGCCGGTACGAGAATTGGAGCTGCCTCGCATGGGCCAGATTATTATTATTATAATCAAAAAGAAGCGCTAAGCCACAAGGGCTATACAGCGCATGGGCCAGAGGCCTGCTGCAGTGTTCCTTCTTTCTTATGTTCTTATGCAACAGGCCTACTGGCCCATACTTGGCAAGTCTTTCTCAAATCCATCCTACTAACAAGTGTATTTGCCCAAACCATTTTCAATGCTACCCAAGCAATATAGTTTTACTGTCTTCCAATTATATCCTTGAATTGGTAGTGATCAAGCCACTGGATGGCGAAACGTCTACAATAAAGATACCCAGATGTTGCTCATGAGTTTAATTCTTCATCTTCCCAGTGTGCGAAACTAACATCTTCCTTGAGATACGAGCATTAACTTAATAATGGTAGAATTACCGACAATTGTCAGGTCACAGGACACAGATACAATGTGACATTTTACTGTGGTAACGGCTACACAAACCCCGGCTGGCCAGGTACTGATTTTAGATGCCTGTCCAGCTCCTTCTTGAAGACAGCCAGGGGTCTATTGGTAATCCCCCTTATGTATGCTGGGAGGCAGTTGAGCAGTCCTGAGCCCCCTGACCTGGAGTTTACCTGGAGAGAGTTTCGGGGGTCAACGCCCCCGCGGCCCGGTCTGTGACCAGGCCTCCTGGTGGATCAGCGCCTGATCAACCAGGCTGTTGCTGCTGGCTGCACGCAAACCAACGTACGAGCCACAGCCCGGCTGATCAGGAACTGACTTTAGGTGCTTGTCCAGTGCCAGCTTGAAGACTGCCAGGGGTCTGTTGGTGATCCCCCTTATGTGTGCTGGGAGGCAGTTGAACAGTCTCGGGCCCCTGACATTTTATTGTATGGTCTCTTAACGTGCTAGTAACCCCGCTTTTCATTGGGGGGATGGTGCATCGTCTGCCAAGTTTTTTTGCTTTCGTATGATGATTTTCGTGTACAAGTTCGGTACTGTCCCTCTAGGATTTTCCAGGTGTATATAATCAGTATCTCTCCCTCCTGCGTTCCAGGGAATACAGGTTTTTGAAACCTCAAGCCTCCCAGTAATTGAGGTGTTTTATCTCCGTTAAAGCGCGCCGTGAAAGTTCTCTGTACATTTTTTAGGTCGGCAATTCACCTGCCTTAAAGGTGCTGTTAGAGTGCAGCAATATTCCAGCCTAGATAGAACAAGTGACCTGAAGAGTGTCATCATGGACTTGGCCTCCCTAGTTTTGAAGGTTCTCATTATCCATCCTGTCATTTTTCTAGCAGATGCGATTGATACAATGTTATGGTCCTTGAAGGTGAGATCCTCCGACATAATCACTCCCAGGTCTTTGACGTTGGTGTTTCGCTCTATTTTGTGGCCAGAATTTGTTTTGTACTCTGATGAAGATTTAATTTCCTCATGTTTACCATATCTGAGTAATTGAAACACTGTGTATTATAAAATATAAATATATCGACTAGTTAGGTGTTGATGAGGCTTGATGTTGCAGGCAAGGCTGTAGGGATCAAAGTACCAGCCAGGGTGAGGAAAGCACAGCATGAGCTGCTGGGTCATATTCTGCGAGAGAACACACGTATTGAGGACGAGAGGCCCTCTGGTATCACCAACGGTAAGTTTACACCATGACTGGCACAGTAGCCGAAGAACACTGAATGCAGTGTAATACGTGTAACCTGGAGTGAATACCATTTGTCCCTATGTGACACGAAGAGGTAAAACAAATCCAGAATTGGTCAATACAATTTAAACCTGTTCTGACATCTCGTATTCTGTTTAATTATAACCATTGTCCTGCTTTTACACACCCCAGTTCTTCCCATGCTGTCTAATTATAATTTTCCTGCTATTACACACCCCAGTCCTCCCCATGCTGTCTAATTATAATCATTTTCCTGCTATTACACACCCCAGTCCTCCCCATGCTGTCTAATTATAATAATTTTCCTCCTATTACACACCCCAGTCCTCCCCATGCTGTCTAATTATAATCATTTTCCTGCTATTACACACCCCAGTCCTCCCCATGCTGTCTAATTATAATCATTTTCCTGCTATTACACACCCCAGTCCTCCCCATGCTGTCTAATTATAATCATTTTCCTGCTTTTACACACACCAGTCCCTCCCCAGGGCGTCAAAATTTATAATCATTGCCTGCTATTAAAACAAAAACCATCCCCCCCAAACCATTTTTCTAATTATAATATTTTCCTGTATTACACTCCCAAGTCCTCCAAAATGACTTTTTTTTTCCCCCCACCTGGGGCCTAGAAAAAAAGCTCCAAATTAGAAATTTTACCCTTGAAAAAGGGTTGGGAAAAGTTTATATAGGGAATTTATACCCTTAAAAGGGGTAGGGGAATCAAAATTATGCAAAATAGTCTTTTAATTTTTTCGGTTTGTTTTTTTAAAGCTGGAAATAAAAAAATTGAAAAAATTAAATTTTTTCAATACGCTATAAATTAGTAGAAAAAAAGGGATTATTAAAAACAGCATCTTTTAATTTTTAAAAATTTATCTTTCATAATAATTTTAATTAAATTATTATTATAACGAAACTAAAGTATCGCTAAAGGGCCCCCCATCTCCCCAGTTTCTCAACTAAAAATATGTGAAGAAAAATAAAGGGAACTACCAACACGGCTTTTGTGGGCAAAAACTCACTCGGGCATGTGAGAACTTAACACTTTTTAATCCCCCTAAACCGGAGTATTTAAAAACATTTAAATAATGACCTCATGTGAGTATTAAACTTATAATACCCTCATTGAGTATTTTAACACTTTTTAATGACCCTCATGTGAGTATTTTAAAAATTATAATGCCCCTCATGTGAGTCCCTTAAACCCATTTAAAATGCCCTCATGTGAGTATTTTTAACCCTTAAAATTTCCCCTCACGTAGTACTTAACATTTAAAAGGACCCTCACGTGAGTACTTAAAATTTTTTAAGGGCCCCTTCACGTGAGAAATTACACTTAAAATTTGACCTCAGGGTAAAAAAACTTAACACTTATAATGCCCCCCTCATGTGATTTATTTAACACTTATAATAAACCCTTTGTGTATTTAAACCCACTTATAAGGGACCTCACGTGGGTACTTAACACTTATAATGACCCTCATGTGAGACTTAACCTTATGCCCTCATGTGAGTCTTAGCATTTTAAAAAAGCCCCTCAGTGAGAAACTTAACACTTATAATGACCCTATGTGAGAAACTTAACACTTTGACCCTCATGTGGTACTTAGACTTAAATGCCCCTTTCATTGGGTTACTTAACCTTAAATGACCCTCAGGGTGAGTACAAACACTTATGACCCTAAAGTGAGTATTTTTAAACAAATAATAAACCCTCACGTGAAATTTTAACACTTATAAGGACCCTCATGGGGGTACTTAACCCCTTATAATAAACCCTAAAGTGAGTATTTTAGCACTTATAATGCCCCTCACGTGGTACTTACCCACTTATAATGACCCTCACGTGATTTTCTTAAACACTTAAAATTTGACCCTCATGTGAGTACTTAACACATAAAGGACCCTCATGTGATTTATTAACATTTTAATGACCCTATTGGGGTACTTAAAACTTAAAAATGCCCCCTAAATTTGATTTTTTTTTTAAACACTTATAATGACCCTCATGTGAGTACTTAACACTTATAATGACCCTCATGTGAGTACTTAACACTTATAATGACCCTCATGTGAGTACTTAACACTTATAATGACCCTCATGTGAGTACTTAACACTTATAATGACCCTCATTTAGTACTTAACACTTATAAGGCCCCCCCTTCGTGAGTCCCTTAAAAATTATAATGACCCTCCGTGAGTATTTAAAACATTTTTAATGCCCCACACGTGAGTACTTAAACACTTAAAATGACCTCACGTGAGTACTTAACATTAAATAATGACCCTAAACGTGGAAATTAACACTTATAATGACCCTCACGGGGAGAACTAACACTTATAATGACCCTCACGTGATTTCTTAACACTTTTTAATGCCCTCATGGAGTACTTAAAAACTTTTAAAATGACCCTCATGATACTTAACATTTTAAAATTTGACCCTCATGTGAGTACAAAAACCATATAATGCCCCCTCACGGGGAGTATTTAAACACTTAAAAAGGGACTCTCATGTGAGACTTAGCCCTTTAAAATTGACCCTCATGGGGTTTTAAACATTATAAGGCCCCTCTTGTGATATTAGCCCTTTAATGACCCTCATTGAGTATTTAAACACTTAAAAATGCCCCTTTTGTGAGAAATTTAAGATTTAAAAATGACCCTCATTTTGAGTACTTAACACTTAAAAAGACCCTCAGGGGAAAGTACTTAACACTTATAATGACCCCATGTGGTACTTAACACTTATAATGACCCTCTGTGGTACTTAACACTTTTTTTAATAAACCCTTTGGGGAGTACTTAACACTTATAATACCCTCATGTGGTACTTAACACTTATAATGCCCCCCCTTATGTGAGTATTTTTGCACTTTTAATGCCCCTCATGTGAGTATTTAAACCCTTATAATGCCCCATGTGAGATTTAAACCCTTTAAATGACCCTCATTGAGTACTTACACTTAAATAAACCCTCATTGAGAACTTAAAAATTAAAAATCCCCTCATTGAAAACTTAACATTTTTTAATGACCCTCAGGGTGATTTATTTCCCACTTAAAATAAACCCTCATGGGAGTATTTAAAACATTATAATGACCCTCATGTGGTACTTAACACTTTTTAATGACCCTCACTGGGGTATTTAAAACATTTAAAATGACCCTCAAAATTGTACCTAAAAACATTTTTTTTTAAATGCAAAATTTAAAATTGTACTACTTTTTCATTTAGCTACTTTTTAATTTAGTATTTGTATTTATTTGGGCAAGTTTTTTTAAAGCAACTGTTTATTTAGCTACTGTTTATTTAGCTACTGTTATTTTAGTTTAATGTTTAAATTTAGCAACTGTCATTGAATGCCCTATTCTTAATTAGTTTGAAAAGCATTAGGATTAATTAATGTCCCCAAAAATCCCTGCTAGTGGCTTTTTTTGCCTAGCATACCCTTCAGAAAAGAAATTTGTAAAAAACTAAATCCACGTGTAAACCTGATTCCCTTTAAAGATGAAGTTTTGGGGGACGTGAGAAACCCGGTGTTCCCCTTGGGCCGCCCTTTCCCATTCGTGGGGATTTGATGAATGGTTTTAAAAAACCGCCCAATTGAAGATTGGGGACACTTTTCCCGCATTTGGGTTTAAAATTTGTACACCTAAAAAAAAGTTTGATGGACTGAACACATCGTCCAGGTTGGGGGATAAATTACCTATTCTCCCCTCTCCTTAAGCCTTCCCTTTGTATTGGATGATGAAGCCACTGTGTGGCAAAACGTTTCCTGAAAAAAGGGTTCCCCATATGTGCATAATGTCTCAATCTTCATTCGTGGGATTTTCTTGGGTTAGAAAAGATTCCCCGGGAAAAACAGGACGTAATTTTTGATGTCAGTCTTGTTATTGAAAAATTTCCACTTGGGGGTTTTTTGGTCTTTAAAACCCGGGCCCTTTCCCTGGCTTACCCACTCCATTTCCTTGAAAAAAATTTAAGGTTATAATGCTTTAATTTTTTTGGGCTATTCAAAGATTGGAAAAACCCCAAATAAAAGCACCCTAGGCCTGTTGGAAGGAGGGGAAGCAAACATATTTAAACCGTAAAGGGGCCCTCTTTTTGTGCTCCCGGCTTTCTGGTTTTTTCCCCGGGTTTCGCTCTTAGGGTGCTAGAACTTTAATTTGTGTCTTAAATTCCTAAAAGGGATACACCCCTCTAGGCCGGGAACCCAAATTTTGGGCGGAAAAAAATTATATCCCGAGAAAAAAAAAGGGAATTAGTGTGCTTTTCCTACCCGGATTTTAACTGCCAGGGGGGAATCATGGCCTTTTTTCCCGTGGGGAAAAAAAATAATAAAAATTAAAAGTTTTTCAGAGGAAAGAAAAGTCCCCCTAAAAAGCTTGGGATTTAACATAGTGTATAGTTTTTTCCCCACAGTGGCCCCCTAGTTATTGATAAATAAAGGCTAAAGTTCTTTTGAAAACAGGTAAATTTTGTAAATGAATGATAATTTTTAAGAGGCAGGTCCCAGAAGTCCCCAAAAAAACTTACCCGGTCAGCTTTTTTTTAAAATAATCTTCCGGGCCCTTTGCTAGTGTATTTCGAAAATATAATCTAGTGATACCAGTGAATAGCAAATCCCGGGGTTTTTTAGTTTGCAAACCCAACCCGTAAATTTTAAAGGTACTTAGTGGATTTGGGTGACTTTCTTAGTTTCTTTTTCCCTTTAAATACGAAAAGTTACTGTGAATTTCATATAACCTTTTAGTTACCCGCGTCGCAATATCACAACGAGAAGCAATTTTTTACGAAAAAGGGTCCTTTCCCCCAAAATTTTGCACCAGTCAACTTTTAGTGATTAAAATAAACATTTATTGTGGGGGGAGACGGGAAAAAAAAAAATAGAAGCCCGTACAGCGATTGATAAACAAAAAGGTGACTGTACGTCATTGTAGGGGCTTCCAAAATTTACCGGCCCCTTTAACACGCAAGTTATACTTTTTTATCATC